TCTCTCACAGGGGCCATTTCAACCTATTTTAGGTGTTAAATGGTTCCTTTAAAAAAAAAACACCACATTTTTAGTGGAAAACTTTAAACACATCTAAAAAGGAGAGAGAATAGAATAATGAACCTGTGGGACCCATCGCTAGTGTAATGAACCTCACGTGCTTGTGGCCACCCTTGTTGCGTCTAGAACCACCCTCCCCTACCCCAGAGACCCCTCCCAGCAAACCCCAGGTGCTAGTTCTTTTGGCTCATTCTTTTGACTGCATATTTAATTCGCGAGTGGGTGATCACGTAGAGATGAATGGAATGACTGAGAGGAAGGGTCTCCCTTGGTTATTTTCTATTGCCGCAGGACCTGATTCAGTGCTTGGTGAGAAAAATCCTTAAGTTTTCTGGCCCATGAACACTTGAGGAACTAAAGAACTTCCTGGTTTTTGGAAATGGTTCTCTTTTTTCCTTCTCTCCCTCCCTCCCTCCCTTCGTGTTTATTAGGTGCTTTCCATGGGCCCAGTACTGTGCTGGGTGCTGGGGTATAGCAATGAGCCTGACCCTACTAGGGGGATCCCTGCTTTCATGAAATGGGGGTTGGGGTGGGAATGCAGGTATTAAACAGATACTACATCAGTTGTTACTGATGTGCGCTTGTGATGAGGCCTTCCGGGAAGTGCTAACTGCAGAGCCTGCGTTTCCTGATTCCTGCAAAGAGGGGTTTGGGTTTTGGCTCAAAGTGGGAACCGGTGTGAGCATTCCGTTTCTTCCTCAATCTTTTGGAAACTTGGCCCTCCCTGCCTCCGACGTCCCCAGCACTTCCTACTTCTGTGACCTCTGCTTTCCTGCCCGGTTTGTGTTGCATTACATCCGGGTCCTCTCATCTCCACCACCCTGGGCTCCATGAGCAGAGGGATTGGGTCCGATTCATAGACCATCAAGTGGCGGCCACTCTTCTCGCTCCTTTTCTCTCTCTCTCTCTCTCTGTGTGTGCGTGTGTTTGTGTATGCAGCATGTATACATGTATATATATTAATATAATTAGATATGAATATATGTTTAAATTAGACCATGTATACAAGTCATTGATTTACCTGCTTTTTTCTCATTCTGTCATAGACTTCTGCCTCGACCTGTCATAGATCTCTTTCCAAGTTAGTATAGAGATTATTTTTAAAAGGTTGTCTAATATTCTATTGCAGAGATGAACCTTCTTTGATTTAATCTGTCCTTTATTGATGGACACCCAGATCATTTCCAATTGTCACTATTATAAACAACACTGAAATGGACATCTTTGTGTACACATCTTTTTCCCCTCTGGGCTATTATCGCTTAGGTTCAAGTTCTTAGAAGTAGGATTGCTGGGTCAAAAGACATGTACATTTTAAATTTTGATGCAGGTTGGGAAATTCTCTCTAGAAATCTTTGTTAACTAACAGAAAAAACAAAAAACAAAAACTTCATTGTATTTCTGTCTGGCCTTCCATTTTTCCTGTGAGTCAGATTTCTCCCCAGTTGAGAAACTTTGCCCTTATTGGTTCATCAGTGGCCAATGTGAGGAACTCAGGGGCTCCAGGCCATTGGGTAATGAGGCAGCAGGATAGTTGGGGGTGTTATGGGCCGGGGGTCAGGGTCCTATCCCAGCCTGATCTCCAGCTGACTAGATGGCCTTGAGTGCGTCACTTAAACCACAACCGCCTTGGGCCTCAGTTTCCTAACTTTCAAGCAAGAGGTCAATGGGAGGACCTTCCAGGCCCTCAGAAAGCTGTGGCTCCAAAGGTCAGACCACCTGCAGTGCAGCTGGGTTTCCAAGCCATCCCTGATTATTGGAGATGACACTCAGAAAATATTTGGTCCAAGTAATTCTCACCCCTGAACAGTGGAGGCCTTCGTGGGCCTAGACTATTAGCGGGATCCGCCATCTGATCCCAGCCAAATGCGGCCTCCTTAGAAGCCGTCCTAGGCCCAATGAAAGCAGCAGCCTCCCATCATTTGGTTGATTTTCTTCACAGTACTCATGACTCTCAGAAATGGTTATTTGTTACCTGGGTAATGTTTGTCTCCCAGAGACAGCGTGAATTTCAGGAGCCCGCGAGCCTTGGCAGTCAGGCTTGCTGTGTAGCCCGTAGCCCATGTCAAGCACAGTGCCTGGCACAGCCCACATGGTCAGCGACTACCCACTGGGTGAATCGTGGGGAAAGGGTTATTTCTGTATTGGTTTCTTCTTTCCGTGAAAATATCTGTAAATATTAAGGATAAGCCTGGACTGGAAGGCTCTATGGCAGATTCTTACCCCACATTGTTTTAAATCAGTGTTTATTCATCCTGGCAAGAAAACACAAGGTCTCTGGATCAGAGAACAGACTAAATTCATTTACACAGTAATCTCAGAGCTGGCTCCCCACGCCCAGGTCCTCACAGGCAATGTGGAAAGAGCCAAGTGCACCCCGAGTGTACAGGGGGTCTATAGCGGGAGGGGAGCCCCAACATTGTGACTCTTGGAGCTTATGCGGGACAACATGCCAGCTCCCTCCCGAGCTTTACCCTGGAAGGAACCGACTCCGACTTCTTCAGAGGAGAGGAGGAGGAGATCACTAGGTTTACAGCCCTTTCAATGTAAACAAATGTCTGGGGCAGAGGTCCCTGAGTCTCTCTGCCGATCTCTGTCTTTAACTTCCAAGGCTGTTCTTAATTGGTCATCCTTTATCCCAGGTGCCAACAGTCTTTGCTGAGATGCCCTGACCACGGGCAAGCATGAAAATATTCATGAAGCATCACTTCCCCACACACATCTCCTGAATTGAAAAGTAACAGCCACCACCTCTGAGTGTCCGCTATGTGCTGGAGTTGTAAATGTGGTGTGAGCTGGTCACGATGGGTCCTGTGACCCACTTTCAGCAAATAGGAAGCTGAGACTCGGAGAGTGAGAGACTGGAGATGAGACAGCAAGGAAGGGAAGAGCTGAGATGAGACCTAGATTTGTGAACGCCCCAAGCCCATGTTCTTCTCTCTACCACCTGGCTTCCCCAAAGTCTGGTCAAGTTGGTTTTAACAGAGTTGATTAGTTGCAGTGAAGCGTTTGAAAAAGAGAAGCCTTCTATTTATTCAACATCTACTATGTGCCAGGCATTGTTCTAGGCAGGGAAAAATGAGAGAGACATGGTCCTTTGTTCTGATGGGACCCACCCAGGAGAGAGACGCAGACATTAAAGAAAGAATCACCCAGAGACAAGTACCCTTGTGATAACAAGGGTGGCAAGTGAGGGAGGATGAGAAGTGCAGGCTGAGGGCTGTCCGCAGAGACTTCCCTGGGGAGGGAACATCCCACCGTGGCCCTGAGGCTGAGTTTGAAGGCTGAACCCAGGCAGGGTGTGGGAGAAGGGTGTTCCGGATGGAGGAGGTGGCACATGCGAAGGGAGGTGCAAGCTGGGAAGATTCACCTGGGAGGAAGGCAGGGCGCAGACCTTGCCCTGGAAAGGAGACTGTTCTTTATCCTCAGAGCACTGGGGGGCCACTGCAGGTTTGAAGCAGGGGAAGAAGGGATGGGATTCGCTGAAGTGACTTCTCATTCATGCTAGGTAGCCCGATGTTCTCGTGAAAGCAAAACCCTTTTCTGCTCTTTCCTGGGGACTGGGGAAGAAAGGATGAAGGACTTGAGAGAGAACACATTCAGGGAAATGTAGATTGCTTAGAATTAGGTTTATGGTTTTTTGGTGGCAAGGGCAGCAACCCAGCAAGTCACGGCCACAGGGGAAAACGGCTGGTAGTGATTTTTCGGCATCTCTTCCTTCCATGTTCACCTGGCTGTCAGCCTGGGGGGCCCTGTGGAAGGTTTCAAATGTGTGCTTCAGGCCCTCTTGCCAGACACCCGGGCAGTCGGTAGGAGGGCAACGAGGCAGCTTCCAGAGAAACTGCCGAACTCACTGCCACCACACCCCTAGGAACCAGTTCCAATCGGGGCCACAGTCATAGCAAACAATGGTAATATTTACCAAGTATTTCTGGAAAAATGAGTGCAAAGTGCAGGAAACGCAGTGCAAATTGCTAGAACGCAGTACATTAGCAACATAGGACATTTAATGAGTCTGGGAAGAGAGGTATGAATTTCAGGAAAATGTCAATTGCCGCAATGTAAACAAGAGGCTTCTCAATATCTCATTCTCCATAGGACTTTATTTCAGTCTTTGGTTATAACTAGTCTGTGATTCTCGGGAGAGACTTCATTCTCAGCATCAAGGAGGGGAAAATTGGAGAATTTGGGGAAAGAGAGGAGTGGGGGTTGCTAGTGCATTACAGACTAGCAGAGAGCTTTGGGGGCACTGGCACGATCCCATTTGAGGAAAACTGAAACTGCAGCTGGGGCTGGTGTGCTTCCAGGCAAAGTGTTTGCTGTCAAAACTGGGCCCATAGTGGGTGCTGTGGTCTGAATGTGTCCTCCCAAAATTCATTTGCTAAAATCTAATCCCCAAGACAATGGTTTAGGTGGGACCTTTGGGAGGTGGTGAGGTCACAGGGTGGGGGCCCTTGTGGATAGGATTAGTGCCCGTATAAGGGAGACCCCAGAGAGACTCCTCACCTCTTCCACCAGGTGAGGATGAAGCAAGAAGGCACCATCTGTGAACCAGAAAATAGGCCCTTTCCAGGCGCTAAATCTGACTTAATCTTAGACTTCCCCGGCACCCAGTTTATGGGATTGTGCTATAGCAGCCCAAATGGACTAAGACAGGGGGACAGCTGCTTACATCTCACTGGGTTGCAGGTGGGGATGGTGTCTTGTCCAGGAAATGGAAAGACTGAAGTCAAGGTCAGCCAGCGCATTTCCTGTCTCACGCAGCCCTGTTGCTGGGGACCGAGGAGGGACCTGGGAAATAGGCACTGACAGCCTTGTCCAAGTGGCTCCACCTAGACCCACTTCTTCAGCAGCTCGATCAATGGTCAAGTATGGTCAGGAAGCCCAGGACCCATGGGCTACAGGCCAGCAGGGTGCTCACTTGTCGCCCTTCTCTGCAGTTCCTGACAGCCTCCTCATGAAGGTGCTGAGCCAGCGTCTGGACCAGCAGGACTGCATCCAGAAAGGCTGGGTGCTGCACGGCGTCCCGCGGGACCTGGACCAGGCACACCTGCTGAACAGCCTGGGCTACAATCCCAACAGGTGAGTGGCCTCAGCCAAGCCTGCAGCCCTGGCCAAGCCCCTGGGCACCCCCCCTCCAAGGCTCAGCTGATGGGGTCCAGGTTACACAAGCCTTCACGTGTTCCTGAAGTGGAATGTCTCCTGGTCACCCCCATTCCCACTCACCCCATCTGCCTGGTGGACTAGGAGTCAGGCTTGGGTTCAAATACTGGCTTTCACTCTCCTTGCTGGACCCTCATCTGTAAAACAGTAATAAATACCAGTCTTGCCTTCTTTGGGAAATTGTTATACAAATCAACGGATGTTTTCTTCTACTATTTTTACAGTTTCATTTTTACATTTAAATCTTTGATGTAGCTGATATTTATTTTGATGTAAGTAGGCAGTATGAGTCGCCTTTTTTTTCCCCTCCAAATGGTTAACCATTTGTTCAGACTGTTGACTATCATTGGATGTTCTGTCTTCCCTCTACTAGTTTGAACTTGAGAGCTCATCGCAATTGTATATATTGTGAGCAATGAAGCCCACCCAAGTAAAAGCAAACAAAGGCTATTTAGTCTGAGCTTGCAATAGCAAGGGGTCAGCCACCATTGCTTGGCGTTTTGGCAGACACTCACAGGCAGGCAGCAGAGGTGACAGCATTCTAGTGGAAGGTGGGGAAGGCTTCGGTTCTACTGTGCCCTAGTTGGAGGCTGTTGGCTTGGGGAAGCTGGGTGGGCTAACTAGAGGTGGGGCCTCCTATGTGACGGGTTAAGGGAACATATTTGACTTTCTCTGGTTGGTCCTACCTTGCAAATGGTGGCAAAAATGAGGGAAGCTATCAATTCCTGATCAAGTCCTGGCCCTTTGGGGCTGATTGCTGCAGAGATTGTGGTCTGACTCCCTGGGCAGGTTGCCGCAGGTTGTGGGTTCCAGTTCTGTTTTTACACATGATCTGACCATCATCAAACTGTGTGTTTAGTCTCTCAATATACTGGGCCTGTGTCTGAACTTTCTCTTGTCTGAGTGTCCATTTCTGCAGTAGTACCACTCTGTTTAACTGCTTTACTTTTGTCATATATTATATTTCAATAGTCAATGCAGGATAAGGCCCTCTCATTAATCTTTATTGTCTATTTTATATATTTATTATTCCAACTGAACACTATAATGATTTTATCATGTACAAAAAGAAACTGCCATTGAAATTTTAGCTGGAATTGCCTTAGATTTTCAAATTGATCTGTGATATGATTTGGCTCTGGGTTCCCACCCAAATCTTGTCTTGACCTATAATCCCCACATGTTAAGGAGGGACCTGGTGGGAGGTGATTGGGTCATGGGGGCGGTTCCCCCATGCTGTTCTCTTGATAGTGAATGAGTTCTCATGAGATCTGATGGTTTTAAAGTGTGGCACCTCCCCATTTGTTCTCTCTCTCCTGCTGCCATGTAAGATGTGCCTTGCTTCCCCTTTACCTTCTGCGGTGACTGTAAGTTTCCTGAGGCCTCCCCAGCCATGTGGAACTGTGAATCAATTAAACCTCTTTCCTTTATAAATTACCTAATCTGAAGTAGTTACTTATAGCAGTGTGAAATGGACTAATATAACCCATTACAATTTGACATGGCTATATCCTGTCTTTGCTTCTAGTGAAAATATGAACACTTCCTTGGGTCTCGCATTTTTTATTTTATTTCTAGGTATATTATCTCTTGTTCTTCTTACTGATATTATAGTAAGATCTTTTCATTCCGTATTTTCTAAGTGGGTTTTTCAAGAGTGTATAAAAGACATTGATTTTGGCTTACTTATTTTGTACTCCAGCCACCTTCTCAAACCCTCCTACTGTTTTGGATAGTTTTTCAGTTGATTCTCTTGAGTTTTTCAGGTAGATGATCATGTCATCTACAAATACTCATCCTTTTGCCTCTTCCTTTTCTTTTTTTTTTTTTTTTTTTTTTTTGAGACAGGGTCTTGCTCTGTCACCCCGGCTGGAGTGCAGTGGCCGGGTCTCAGCTCACTGCAAGCTCCACCTCCCGGGTTCACGCCATTCTCCGGCCTCAGCCTCCCGAGTAGCTGGGACTACAGGCGCCTGCCACCTCGCCTGGCTAGTTTTTTGTATTTCTTAGTAGAGACGGGGTTTCACCGTGTTAGCCAGGATGGTCTCGATCTCCTGACCTCGTGATCCACCCGTCTCGGCCTCCCAAAGTGCTGGGATTACAGGCTTGAGCCACCGCGCCCAGCCACCTCTTCCTTTTCAATATTTATACTTTTCATTTTACTCTTGTTGGGCGGTACTTTCAGAATAGGGTGTCATGATCGACAGGGTGGTTTTTCCTGACCATAAGGGCTGTCCTGGTACTGCTGACATTAAGGTGCTACTGGCTTTTGGTTTGAAGTGCATACAATTCGTATGAAGTTAAAGAAGATAGCTCTATGATTTAAAATCTCTTGTTACTGTTGAATTTTATCAAGAGCTTTTCAGCATCCTTTAAAATTGTTTTTTCTCTTTTTGACATATTGATATTATAAATTATATTAATAATAGTAAGCCAATCTTTTGTTCCTGTAATAACTGGTTTGGTCATGGCATATTGTTCTTTCATGGTATATGATTCTCCTGCTTGTGGCACATAGAATTTTGACCCTTATGACCTTTACTCCCCTGCTGTCATGCCTTTGAATGTATATTATATGACAAAAGGGACTTTGCATATATACTTAAGATTACTAATCAGTTGACCTTAAAATAGAAAGGTCAACCTGGACTATCTGGGTGGGCCCAGAATAATCACATAAACCCTTAAAAGCAGAGTTCCCTCCTGACTGAGGGCAGAAGAGGAAGTCAGAGAGATTTCTAAGCATGACATAGCATTGGTGGCTCAAAGATGGAGGCCATGGAAAATGTGAGAAGAAATGAATTCGACCAACAAACAGTGAACCCCTGGTGAGAACTACAGCTCTGGCTGATACCTTGACCTAAGTCCAGTTAGACTCATACCAGATTTCTGACCTACAGAAACTGTGAGATAATACATTTGATTATCTTTTTTTCTTTTCTTTCTTTCTTTCTTTTTTTTTTTGAGACGAGTATCACTCTGTCGCCCAGGCTGGAGTGCAGTGGCATGATCTCTGTTCACTGCAATCTCTGCCTCCCAGGTTCAAGTGATTCTCCTGCCTCTTCCTCCTGAGTAGCTGGGATTACAAGTGTGTGCCACCCATGCATGGCTAATTTTTGTATTTTTATTAGAGACAGGTTTCACCATGTTGGCCAGGCTGGTCTTGAACTCCTGACCTCAGGTGGTCCACCCGCGTCAGCCTCCCAAAGCACTGAAATTACAGGCGTGAGCCACCGCACCTAGCCGAATATGAGTATTTTTTTTTTCTTTTTTCTTTTTTTTTTTTTTTTTGAGATGGAGTCTCGCTCTGTCTCCCAGGCTGGAGTGCAGTGGTGCGATCTTGGCTTATTGCAAGCTCCGCCTCCCAGGTTCACACCATTCTCCTGCCTCAGCCTCCTGAGTAGCTGGGACTACAGGCGCCCACCACCATGCCTGGCTAATTTTTTGTGTTTTTAGTAGAGATGGAATTTCACCATATTAGCCAGGATGGTCTTGATCTCCTGACCTCATGATCTGCCCACCTTGGCCTCCCAAAGTTCTGGGATTACAGGTGTAAGCCACCACACCCAGCCCAAATTTGAGTATCTTTAAGCAGCTAAGTTTGTCATAACATGATAATGGCAGCACAAGGAAATTAGCATGCTGTTGGATTGTATTGGCTACATTTTTATTTAGTTTTTTTGCATTAATATGCATATATAGGATGGATTAGAATTTTTCCACATTCTTGTGCTTTGTTAGGCTTTAGTATCAGTAATGTGAAAGTTTCATAGATTTTCTTTCTTTCTCCATATCTGAGAGAGTTTTTAAAACTCCAGCAGTAACTGTTTTTAGGATCTGGCACTTATGGGGCAGAGGTAGCTTGTTAACAATTTGATTGATTTTGTTCATGGTGTTTGGTCAATTCAGATTTCTCTCTTTTCTTGTGCAATTGATCTCTTCCTGGAAAATCATCCTTTTCCCTATCTTTAAATATATTAACGTAATTTGAATATCTTGTGCCATTAATTTTTATTGTGTTTCCTACAGTTTTTGCTTTATGTGTTTTGGTGCTGTGTTATTTAGTGCATAAAGGTTTCTGTCAGCTATGTGTTCATTGTGAAATGTATTCTTGATGAAAGTGACCATCAGTGACAGACAACTAATTATCTACCCCAACATTTGTTCTAACTTTCCTCCTCAATAACAAAAGATCAATTTTCCGAAAAGTACATTGGTGTCTAAAAATTAAAGATCCTATTTTCCAGTCTTCTTTACAGCTATATGGAGCCACAACACTAAGTTCTGGCCAATGAGATATAAGCATACAGTTGTGTGGTTTTTCTAGGAAACCTGCTTTAAGGCATCTAACTCAGCTGGAAGGTGTTAGCTTTTTTTGTTGTTTTGCCTTTCCTTTCTTTTTGATTTCCCTGAAGTTAATAATCATCTTGCTTTTTCACTTGTCTAGTTTTCTTTGTATCTATTAGTTAATTATTTCCACATCTCATAATAGCCTTTCAGAACAGTTTCCCACAAAGTCCATCATACTGTGTAATCTATCAGTTTCAGGTTGTTTTTTCTTCTTGGTTACTCCCATTCCTCTCCTGTTTGGACTGGATTTTTTCTAGGCTTACTGCATAGTTGATCATCAAGGGCTTTTCTTTATATAATCAGAGGAATTCCCTTTGGCTTTCTTTTGAGTTGGAGTCTCTGTTTCCTAAGTCATACATCTTCCTTTTATATACCCCCTTGATTTGACAAAGCATAACCTCTAGTTGCGTCTTAAGTTAAAAAGATGGTTTAAAAGCAGTAGGCTGTTACACCGGCAACATATGTGTTCTAAATTGAAGAAGTCACCCTTTATGCCTGTACACAACAATCATTTTGGGATTGTTATTCACTACTACACTGAAGATTCTCTTTACCCCTCTCCCATGTTAGAT